TCCCTCCCTCCCTCCCTCCCTCCCGCTCTTCATCTAAGCAGTCACTTATGTCAGGCTTTATCTCAATAGTAGCTTCTGTTTCTTCTTAATTTTATGACTGAAGCCCCAAACATGCAAAGGGCTGGTACACCAGCTTAACTCTAAGCCTCTGAGGAGTCCCACTTGTTCTTAAAAGTGATAACTCCACTGCATTAAATTAAGCACATGCTGACATTCCTTGCTGAACCGGGGCCCAATCTCTACACTGAAAATAGTAAGGGACACATCTGCTCTGCACACTAGCAGGAGCTAGGGATGACAGATGGGCTCAAAGCAAGTCAAAACTGAGCCAAGCCTTCAGCCTAATACCATACTCTTAAGTTCAGAAGTAATCAATCACTGCCCCTAATTTTCTGCATGCTTTGGGGCTTTTTGCTTCCATGTGGCACCGTAAACAGAAATGTCAGCAAGGTCATTTCTTTTGGACCTACCCCTACCCAGGTTTTCTAACTCAGAGACAGAGAAAGACTCAAAAATGTAACAGAATCTCTGATCCTCATTTGTCCTACAGGAATTAGTGGGAAACCTTATCCTGCCTGCCCACTACAGGCATGTGAGACCCCCTGCCCCCAGAGCACCTCTGTGCATAACCTCTAATAAACTTCCAACTAATATTCACTAGGGCAGTGATCACGGATGGTAAACTATGGTGAAGAGATTAAAGTATCTCGACAATTTATTTAAAAGTATTCGTGTCTGATAACTAGTCATTATCTGGCCATTCTGTGTACCCATCCGTAACTTCATCTTCCTTCTGCTGCAGTTCTGTGATACTCACATGTTCCTCATGTGAGGAACTCATGTTCCTCACTGTTTCAGAAGGCTTGCATTACTTTTTTAATGTGCATGTGCGCACACAGTGTTCAGTCCTCATGCCATAACGGACATTTGTTTAGGACTACAATATGCTGGACTAAAAGAACAATGGTGATTTTTCCTTTGCAGTAGCAAGAAGCCAAAGGAAAACCCAGCAGAGGAACTCCACTTCCCCTTGCTGCTCTGCAGCAATGGGCTTCGAATGGTGGAGGCATCACCTGCCACTACAAGTCTGGAGGTAGCAGAGACCATGCTGGAGAGGTCATGAAGTTGCTTTCAGGGGAGCGAGAAGGATCCCAATCCCTTCTAGTCTGACCACCCACGCCCTCTCCCACTAAAGCGTTCTTATATGAGGACAAAGAGTTTGGCCTTCTGTAAAAATCTCTTTGTACTTCACTAGAATATGTCCTTTTCTTTTCTAGCCAGCCAGTAATCTAGCATTAATACAAAGATGGCAGTAAGAAAGATCCCAACCACAAGGCTTTAAAGTACTTGAAACCCAGAACTGAAGGTGATAAAGAAATCAGTTCTGATATTGATAGTGCTCTTTTGTGTTATATTGCCTCACCATTCTTGATTTGATATCTTTGTCTTTACAACGTAGATAACAGTGTTTGCTTTCATTAACAGCTTTCTAAATGTAACAGTCCATGGATGCAAATAAGGTCTAAACGCTGTAACTTCACACATAATTCACTGAATTCTTAAATCAACCTATTCTGCTAGCTAATGGATGGGTCTAGTACACAGCTTTACTGTAAAACTGTCTGAAACCTATTACTACAGAACACTGAACCTTCTTGTTCAAGTAACAATATTTTTTGCTTAATAGTTTTTCTTTGAAGAATAGTACAAATGGTTATTTACTTGCAGCTTCTCCATCGGCAGATTTACCTCCATTGGGCAAAGACAGCACTAGTTGACTTTCAGCTATTGCATCCATTGACCGCCCATTGTGGTTTCCTGGAGGATCTCTTGCATGGTAAGGTGGGGGTGGAGTTTCCACTATTAGAAAGAAGGAAAGAAAGAAAAGAAAGAAAAGACACCTAAATCAATACGTTGGTAAATTCTCTCCGGCTTTTCTTGGTGAGTACTTAGCACTTATTCAGCATTGTTTAGCTACAGAAGGGCTGGAAACAGAGCACAGATCTGAACCTGACCTCCCTTCAGTCTCCAGATTAAGACCATTACATGTTCAGGGAGGACAGGAAGGAAGGGCTGTCATGTTGGACATGCTGCACTTGAAAGAGAGAGGGACAGTCACAACAGTGCCTCAGGTCTAGACCGATGTCCAGTCAAGCTCTCTGCTAGTACAAGTTGTTACCCTAAGAAAGTAACACAGTATGATCCTTCAGTTCCAGACTTCTCTCTCTAATGTAAATTTGAAAAGGATGATTTAAGAGCAGAAGGTAACGTTAATTGATCCTCTGGGAGAAAGCTCTCTTTCTTCACAGGCTATAGAAAAAGCCCATGGAAAGCCTTTATACTTTAAAATCAGACTTGGCAAAACTCCCTCCAGATTTGTCCTTTTTACCTCTGTCCTACAAGGGAAGGCTGGCCCTCTTCTGGTTTGTGAAGTCTCCCATCAAAGAGCAATGCATATGATGAAAAAATATGGAGAAAAAGTATCAACTCACAACCTGCCCAGCTCCTGATTTGTTTCATTTATGGCACAGTAAGCTAGAAAACAGAAGGTGACTCTATAGTGGGGATTCTCAAGAAAGACAGGAGGCTTTAGAGCCAAAGAAAAAGGGACTTCATTTTCGTATTAGAAAATGCCAATATTCACTGCATAAGCGCTAGAAGTATGTAGTTTTATTCATTTGAACAGAAACTCAGTGGGCTTATGGGTAACTTACAGCCATATACAAACTTGCAGGACTAAGGGTCTCTTTAAGAAGACCAGGGTTTAACTTGGTTCCAGGTTGAAATTTCCTCTTGTGTTCAGGATCTGTTGGCTGGCCCTCAAAACAGAGCAACTTCACCCAGAGTGAATAAATGTGGACTGTCTCATAAGACAATCATTGAATCTTCCAAGTAAGTACTGCACAGAAATGTTATTCTTTTTAAGCATTGTTCAGGATTTAGAAATTTCATACACTATATGATATTTCTAACATATAGATAACATAACGCTCCCACAGAAAATGCAACAAGCTAGAATAGTAAAACAAAATCAAGAAAGAGTAGAAGAGAATACAAGTCACAGAAAGGAATATAATGTGATTATACAGGTATTTTTGATGTCTACACCTAACCTAGTCACCATAAGCTCTCCTTATACCCACTAAAGAAAAACAGGCACTGCAGACACAGTGCATCTCAGCTACTTTAGACATATACCTTCAGATGCAATGAAACTTGTTCTAGGAGTGCCTGTTTACAGAGAGAGTATAGACAATTGCATGAGATGTAGAAATTTGCATTGTTGACATCTATATTTGGTCACACCAATCCCACTCAAGGTTCTTGATGTAACTCCAGTTTGCTTTAGATAGTCTTCCATCCCTGATTGTTACTCAGGCAAATTATGCTTATCAGCATGCCGTGTGCTGTGATATACCGAAGCTCAGGTTGAGCCACTTCCATTTTTAAGTAGCTTTGCAAGGTCCCAAGTTCAGTTAAATGCACGAGTCAAGAGTCATTACATAGTTGGAATGGGCCTGATTTACCTGTCAGGACCAGCTCCACTGAATCCAGCTTGGTTACACAGAGGTGAAAGAAAAAGATGGGAGAAGACAAACAAGTCCTACTACTTACTGAAATGTTTTGATGTTGCTAAATATGATTTAATCTGAAATACAGATGTAGAGAAGAAATGAATGAAGGTCCATTCAATGAATGGGGAGGGAAGGAAAAACATCACACTGCGTTGAAAGTGTCTAGCTTAAAAGGAAGTTCAAATACTACAAATACCTTTTAAAAATAAACACCTTTCTTGCAGTTAAAATCAAAATAGGCATATCGTTAAGGACATGAATTTAAATGCTTTGTAGTTCAGACATTAAAACACTAAGCTACAAGATTCTGACCTGAATTCGTCCTTGTGAAAAAGTTGAGATCATTGAAACTATTTGAGAGTTACAACAAAGTACAAGTGAATCTGGACCACGTTTTGATATTAAAGCTAGCTCTCAGCTGTGTTGCATGACACCTTCTTGGTATATTTAACAGCAAAAGCATAGTTAAATTCTCAGGTAATTAGAGCACTACTAAGTAAGGAGTTCACAACGCAAACAATCCGAGTGACATAACCCTGCCGACCTCAGAACTGTGGAGCTGATGAAACACGTTCCAAAGTCATAGGAATTTGCCTGATGGCTTCACCAAGTGTTGGGCCAGATTGTTAAACACCTTAATTTCCTGAAGTTTATATAGTCAGTGGGATCACCATACATTAAAAAATATTTCTGCATACCGATTTCCCCATTTTATCCTGTCTCACTTGATGGAGTTTCTAAAGGTCCCTACCCTGACCATCTCTATTAGAGGTGCCTAACTTAGGTGTTGCAAGTGCTCTTTTCCATGGATTGTATCAGAAGCTTGGATGGGCAGCTTTAGGCAGAAGGTGACCTGGCACACCTGCTCCTCTCCTCAACTTTCCCCTTACAGTAATCATGAAATCTCATCCAGGCACTTCTAGGAGTGGGATGACTAGAGCTCTTAGTCCCTTGAGCATCCGTCACAAGGACTGGGAGACAATACTAAGAGAAAGTCACAAGAAGTAACGTTCCAAATCCATCCTGTCCAACATTTCAATCTGTAGCTACAGCCTGGGGGAAGCAGACAGAATTGGCACCTGACCCCAAGCCCTGGCAAGAACTTCAACCACCTCAGTTGGGATGTCTGAAAGCTCATTCTTACCCGTGAGCTGATAGGGACTTCCTGGTCCAGAAGAGCTTCCTGGTGAGTTGGGGTAGCTGATGCTGTTAGGCGACTGGGAGAACATGTGGCTGGGTGATGATGGAAAAGGGGTGCATGGAGGATGCTGGAAAGAATCAGGATAGGTGGCATTGTGCGGCATCAGCGGCTCGCTGTGCAGAGAAGTGTTTCGAAACTTGGCAAGAAGGCTGAGGTGAGGGTTAAACTCACTGTGTCTTGGAACGAGTACAGGAGGTAGGACTGAAAATAAAAACAAGAACAGAAAAAATCTGGTTAAAAGTGCACTCTTGAAAGTACATCTCTTTGTAAGTTAAAAAGAGGCATATTCCATGCTGCCCGAATAATGCTGTCTATATAGAAGTCATTGAAGGGCAATAAACTTGTCCAAAAACAAGAATCAAAAGCTGATTCTTGGACCTTTTTTCCCCACATTTGCAGCCAGTTGCAGCAATTCCATACGCAAAATATGAACCCATTCCTGACTTGAGCACGGTACCATAAAATTTACAGGTATGGCATGTGCACACAGCCCTCTTACAGAAATGCAAGTGGCACACTTCTCCCTCTCAAAATTACCTATTCCTTCCTTCCTGAAAGACTGAACATGTCAGGAGTTTGCTAAATATTATCACCAGGATTTGCCAAAACCACAGCCAAGTTTAATACAATTAATAGTGCTTTGCAATACACTGCATATTTTACTACCAGTGTTTTACAGATGGGCAAAAGGAAGCACAGACAAGAAGCCTGACAGCAGATTTTAAAGGTTTTCAGATACTTGAAAATGCTGCCAGCCAGACAGTGGGATCTTTAAAAGGCAATGTAAATGGCAATTCAAATATTGCAGCAATATTAATTTAGCTCTTGCAATAAAGTTAGAAAAGATCTAGCATGAGAGGCAAATGTCAATGGTTGGTAGTTAAGACACGAAAAACGCAAGTCAGAAAACTGAAATCCAAATTAATCCATGTAAAAATTGGTCTAATAGAAGATAACACCTCTCTTCACAAACTGTCCTCACTTACATCTCATACTGTCAGTGCTGTTAACAGCATTGCTGCATTGAGAAACCTAAAGTTGACCCAAATTATTCTGGATTCTGACATATCAGGAGTGAGAGCAGAATTGGAGTCAAAACACTTTAGAAAACCCAACTAGCGAGTTACCTATGAAGATGCAGCCCCTAGGCTGGAACACAAAGAAGCTTGCTAAATAGTTCTGCATATGGGAGTTCAACTTGAGGCTTTAACGGGGTCTCCCGTAGTCCTTGGGAGGAGAACAGCACCTACAATGGGCAATTCATGTACCCCAAGATTTCTCTATTAGTTACTAGCTCACGTAGTGCCTAATTGTCTTAGTTAAGGCCTTAAAAACAAGTAGGGGGAATGAATCCCCAGTTGCTATCTTGCAGATCTAAAAGCCACCAGAGAAGATAAGGAAGCAATTTGAGTTATTGTGACAAGGATGAATTGTCCCAACACCGGGAACAGTTCAGCAGGCTTGTATTGATTGACCTAATGTCCAGAGTTCCTCTGGCCTAAAACCCAGCAGCACGTAACCTTTCAGTCTATCCTTCTAGCTTATGGAAACAAATAGCAGTGTGCACTCTTGGTTATAAATGCTGACAGGAATATATGGTTTGAACGTGTTTTAACATATTGTTTGGGCCCAAAAGCTCTGTCTAGGTAAGGCCAATTCTTTTTAGGTAGGTTAGCTAACACCTTTTAATTACAGTGAACTCTCATTTATCCAGCATAATGAAAGAGTGGAATAATTGCTATAAAGCAACTAATATATAGATAATGCAAAACATGTGCATGAGAAGAGGCTGTAGGAACACCCTCCTTGGAGTGCACCTTCAGTGCACATTGATTGCTCATAAAGCTGAGGCGGTTTAAGCAGGAGGAGGAGGACCAGTGCCTGGTACCAAAGGCAGGTTTACAGCTTCTTGCTTGATGTAGCACTATGCTGCACCCGGAGCAGGGTTATACCATGCTCCTGCCCACCCACTGCCATATACCATTTGGGAATTTGCCAGTCACCCATGAACTGAAGAACTGGGCCCTAAAAACATAGAAAAGATTGGACTGATGACAGGAGGTTCACTGCAGAAGTTATCTTCTTACCTGCCTGGAAACACAGGCACTGGGATACCTGTTAAGAGTCTATACACAGACCCTTCCCTGGCCCAACGCATTTCTAATTAGCTTCTGTCCAGCACAAGGATGGTGCTCTGGAGACTACTTTCTTTCCTTCTGCCTCTGATATGCCCCTTCCTGTGGGATGAAGATTTTGTTGCCACCCTCTTAAGTCCTTTGGTAGAGAAAGGTATTTCTGCTTCTTTACCGCTTCTTTAGCTTTTTGGACTTCCTAGACTCCCCAGGTAGGACTCATACAGGCAATACAGGTATTCACACCTGAGATGCACTGCCCAGTCCCCATGGATATCTTCATAGCCAGTGGAGAGAAACAGACTCTTTTAGTGCTCAGTTCATCTGCTCTATATTGGGACAAGGCCAGTACCACCACTGCAGATGTGGTTTTGGTAAGCTGGATCCCTCCCATCCCATGCTCCTGTGAGCAGCTCCAGACTGTGAGCTGCTGCTGCTTCTGGAGTTTTCCTCTACTGCTCCATGCAACTGGTATGATGCTTGCCAGGTCTCCTGCTGCTCAGCCAGCTCTGACCAGCAGCCCTAGAAAACGGGGCACTGGTGATCCCTTTGCACCCAGCCAGGGACAGCTGTGCTACAGCAATGCCGGGCAGCGTTGGGAGGTTGGCACCTTGCTGTGGGTACCACCACTAAAGAAGCGCCTTTCTTCAGCCCTGTGAGAACTCAACTCCTTCTCTAAATGAAAGCTGAGAATCTGGATGTGTGGACAGCACTTGCCAGGAAAAGCCCTTGACTCGCCCTGAGTGAGTCAGCAAGAGGAATTTTCAAGCCTTGAACTCATTCCCAGCTCTGACCAGGGTACTTCTAATTTCTGCTCTGCTGTACAGTTTTTGCCACCTCACTCAATCTTTCCACTGACTGCTCTGTGGCTGCCTAGAGGGCTAAAGCCTCTGTGGTGGAGAGGAATTCAGATATTTGCTTGTTTGTGGCTAAAAATTCCCCAGAGGGCCTTGTTCTCCTTGCTCTTTTGGGAACAGATGTCACTCTCCAGGCCTCAACAACTCTGAAGGAAGTGTGACCAGAGGCACGAAACTGAGTGACTGAGTGCATTGGGACCTGTCTGTCCTCATAATTTACCTGCATTGTCTCCACTCAATGGAGTCCTTTTCTTCTACCTGCTATTCTCCACCTCTCCACCGAGAGCCAGGGGTGGATCCTTCCTTCTATGCATGCCCAAGTGTTGATGATCTTTGTTCAACTGAAGACAAATACGGTCATGCCCCAAGTCCTGCCACTGCTTTTCCTGCACTAGGCTTTCCCCTGTTCCCTTTAGCTGCAACAGTTCTTGCCGGAAACCTGGCTGTGCCCAGAGCCTGTGACTTCAGGTTCTAGCAAGCAAACTATCTGCCTCACAATTCTAGGTACAACATCCACCCTGTGATTTCTCACACATCAGCCCATCTTTGCAGAGTTTACTACCTTCGGAGACCTACCCTCCTGTGAGATCCATCTGTTCCCTATGCCCATGACCATTCACAAACACCAAAAACATGGCCAACAGGGAGATCATCAGGGTCTTCCAACTGGGAGGCTACCACATCTTAGTCCCACTCAGGCTTGATGAAAGCAATGAGTTAGTCTAAGTGAAAAGTTCATTTAGGCTCCTGCTGTCTACAGCAATGGTGCACACTAGAATTTGCACTATCTACACATGAATGATCTCATATAAAAATAATAGGGTAAATGTTTAGGCAGCTTTTATATTTTTCTGAAACTGCAGCTCCTCCTGAAAACAAACCATTTAGACTTCTGACCAGCTCTTTGAGGCAAAACAATGAAGGGGGAAGCAAAGCCTATCCACCATACCTATCTCCTTTAGGCTAGGTGGCCTAACCCCTCTCTGCAGTGGGATGTGGCACAAACAGAGGAAATATATGCTGCTTTTTTCTAAATGGCACCTGCTGCTCAGCAGACCTGAGAAGAAATCTGCTGGGGACACTGGTAGCAGCAATAAAAGCTATGCATAATCTGTGCAGTATTGGTCAGCATAGACTAGGATGTGGCTGGGCAGCCTGAGGACACAGCAGAGGCAATGAAACCCCTGAATCTCAGATCAGAGCTTAAAGCTGCTCTCTAGTAATACAGGTTTAGGTATCTGCCAGGCCACTAAAGAAAGGATGAGGCCCTTTCATCTTTGACACAACTCATTCATTCTGAATAAAAGTTAACGGATCTGGTCACAGAGTGGTTGACTCAGCAAGACAGATTGCAGTGATGGAAAGTGAGCCCCAAAAGGATGGACATTTGTATGAAAATAATACTGGTTGTGGATTATAAAGAAATGCACTGCTGACTAATTTCATGGGTGGATTCTTTAGCTCCAGAGGATGAGATTCAAAGAATCTCACATAAGCCTAAGATCACCAACAGCCAAGATGCAGAAGATTTCCTGTAGTTAAAAGAGGAGTGTTGTTTAAATAGACTGGCACCCAGATCGATCACTCCCAGCCTTTTCTGTGGTGATCTCTCTGCTACCACTTTCTCCTCAAGCTCATTTCTTCTCTTGCCTCGCCACCACCGCCTTGCAGCACTGCTTTCTAACTGCCTCTGTCCTGGAGCTGCAGTACTGCCACTTGCAGTGGTGTAAGTTACCTCTCCTGCCACTGCCCCAGCACAACTGAGTAGGTTGTACTTCTTGCTGTACCACATCTTTAGCAGGGGGGTGACTCACTTGTGAGCTTCAGCTTCTAAGCTGTCCCCGTAAGAAGAGCGGTAGGGATGAATACAACAGCCCAAGAACAATTCCTGGGTCCTGTGGAGAACTGGCATGGCACAGCTTGCATCCTCGCAGCTGCGCTCTCTTTCGCCTCCAAAACAAGGTGCTCACATCCGAAGTGCCCAAAGTCCCTCCTGTGGGCTAACCCCTGCATCCTGAGAACTGCTAGTCCATGCGAGTCCGCATGGGTCAAAGCTGTGCCCGGGAGCACGCTACCAATTCAGCAATACTCAGACCTGCACCTTGGCCCCGTCTCATTTACTAGTAGAGATGTAGCCAGTCTGCTGCACAGACAAACGACAGACACATGTTCACAGCTGAAACCTTCTGAGTTTCAGGGTCAGAACAACAAGCTTTGGCAGCCATTTAGCAGCTGCTGGATTATCCCAGTTCTAGCGTTCGTTAGCTGGCACTGAACAGATCAGAAGACTGGGGTTAAAAACAGCACTGTGCAGTGCTGTCAGCTACCGTGCTAAGGAAACTCCATTAACTACACTGGAGTTACACCAGAAGAAATGAGAAGACACTACAGGCTGCAGCCTTCAGAGAGAAAGGTACACAAAATGGGATATTTTACGAGCGTCTTTTCTTAGATTCTTGAAAAGTTTATTTTAGCAAGGCAGGAGATCAGCTCTTTTCACTGAAAACTGTTGACAACAAGCACCACTCACTGCAGCTGTGAAATTTTAATTGTGACAATGTTTACAGCAGTTCAGATACAGCTTCAAAATGACAGCTCCGCTGCAGTGGAAGGACTATCAGAGAAGGGAGCAGACCCTGTTGTTTAACAAATGTTAACAAATGTCTTTCTCTTATTTCATCTGTGTGAAAAGAAACATCCCACAGTTCACTCATCTGATCCTAATGTCACCTCAGAGTAAAGTTCATGCCAGACAAAGAGTAATCACAGAATAACAAGTGTACACTTACCAACCATATCCATTAGTAAATTAAATTACTGTGATTTTTGGCAGCAAGGGAGAGCTAGGTTAGACATTAGAAATCATTTTGAACTGTAAGGATAGCAAAGCAATAGATTCATTTGCCTGGGGAGGTTGTGGAGCCTCTATCACATGGGATTTTTAGAGCTCATTAGAAAGACATCTGTCAGGAATGTACCTGGTAATTTGTTTTGGTTTGGGAATAGGGACAGAGGAGAACAGGAGGACTGCTCAAGATATCTGCCAGCCCTACTTTCTAAGATCCCTATAGAAGTCAACACTGAACACTATAATTTTCTAACAGCTGTTTCATTGACACTAAGCCCAATTAAACGACCCTTCAGTGAAGTCGTAAGTTTTCAGTGCTGACCAAGTCCAGTCTAAAGATGATCATCAGTGGAAAAATTCAAAGTTTTATGGGAACTTGGGGGATTTATTTCACATAAACTATCCATTCAGGTAAATAAGTCCCACCGAAGGCAGGCCACCAGGCATTTTAGGAAGAATCAACTGACCTGGTTTCAAATCCACAGCAAAATAAGCCATCTTACTGCAACTCTAATCTTTAAAGAGAGCTAGTGATACATTTTTCCTGTGGACTAATGAGTCGATTGTTGGTTTTCAGACAATGAGACATAAATCTAGCCAGAGTGGTAAGTCTAGGATGGTGCCCAGACTTCATGCAAATGGACACTAGTTCGCAGAAGGAGGGTTCAGCAGGCAGCCAGAACCCACGTCCATGGAGAGGAAGCTTGCTTTCAGCACCCTGGACAAGATCCATGTGCCCTCGGGGGTCTGATGGGACGCGGACCCCACGGGGCAAGGCGCTCCTTACTCCCAGCTGCTGGAGCTGTGATGCCACCAGGCATGGAAGGCTGGACCACCCAGGGTCCTTCCAGCAAATGGAGCCTGCCTTTTCAGATTTCAAAGCAGAACTTGGTAGGATGCACTAAGACTAGACCTGCCACTACAAGAGCTAATAGAGAGATGTGAATCATTTGCAGATGATATAATTACCTGGGGTTTCCACCCGCCGGTAATGGTAGGGGTTAATGCACACTTCTTTCTGTTTTGAGCCAAATGGGAACTCACAACATTCCAGTGGTTTCAACTCATGGTGAGACTGTAAATCAGGCCAGCGCCACACTCTGCAGTATATTACGTGGGGAAGCCCCTTGCGGTGAGACACCTGCAGTCGCCCATCCAAGGAACGTGGGATCGTGACACATTTACTGGGCTGACCCGGGCAGCTCAGAGCCCTTTCCAGTTCTTCCATGGCACCTTTTTTCTTCTTTAACTTCTTCACTAAGGAATCAACAGCTTTTTCTGCCCACTTTTCCTCTTCATCTCCTTGTTTCCAGCCCAGCAGCCTTTTCACTGCAGGGCTGGTGAAGGAGAACAAGGAGCTGATAGGGGTGCTGGAGTGCATAAGAAGCAGAGATTACACACGAATGTCAACGGAAGCACAAATCACGCTCCTGCCTTGCAAGGCTTGCACGGAGTTTCCACAATATTGAGATGGACGCTTCCTTCAAGGAAAGGTTCTTCCAGACATACGGTTTTGTAGTCTTAGGCACTGGTTACAAGTAGTCCAACAGGGCGGGTCTCAGAACTTTCCAAACATCAAGAAACTGCTGATGAAGCCTGGAATAACAACACAATACATCGTTAGGCTTCACACACTCCTTTCATTGTTCCTTCAATAAAATCTTTTGAAAGAGAAATGATTCAAAATGTGTATTTAATTTTCAATGGTTTTCTGTTTGGTTTTTGCTGTTTATTTTGGGTCCAAGCCTCTCCTCCCCACTACCCTCCACACTCATTTTAGAGTTGGACCTCGGAAAGCATTAAGCGTCCAGTCAGGCAAATTGTTGCAGGGTGGGGGTTATATTTACTACAAAAGAAAACGTACCTTTTTTTTTATGCTGGTAGCTGTAGGTTCAGCTCAAGCATCTTCTACAAAATTAAATCTGTAATATCAAATTTTATGGAAGTAATGAGTAGAATATTTTTCTGATTTCAACTTCCTCTCTGCCCCTCCAATCTCACTCGACTGTCAAGAGTTGTAAAATATTAACTGCAAAATTAATTTAAAATTCAGCTACTCACAGATTTCATTTAGTGGCTTTGAAAGATCTATCACTATTCTCTAAGCTTATTTACATTGTCTCATATGAAAGAGAAAACCTTGTTTGCCTAGCCAGTCTGTTTTGCTCTCTCCAACAATTCAAAGTTTTTTGGATGAAAAACACAGACTTTTGGACACGGTTTGTGCTGGATGAATCCTGAGTTATTTCTGCTAGGAGTTGCTACATCTGACAAAGTCCAACAGAAAGAGTTTAGTTCTTGAGGGTTTTTCTTTTTTTTTTTTTCTTTTCTTTTAAATGTAGCTGGAGCCAGTCTAATTTTAGCTGAAAATGACATGTTTCCACTGACTGGAACTCTGAGGGGTTTTTCTTTTTTCTTTTCTTTTCTTTTAAATGTAGCTGGAGCCAGTCTAATTTTAGCTGAAAATGACATGTTTCCATGGAACTCTGCTCTGAGGAAAAACGTCCTTGCAT